AAATCTTCTTCTCAGGAACCACTGGGCCAAAAAAGCTGAAACATATGTGCCCATGGAAGGATCATGGGGTAGTGTAGATTTCAAAATGTCTAAATTATGATCAGTGGGGTAGGGTGGGGATGCATTATGTATAACAAGGGGGAAATCTGGTAAAGAACAAAATGGTCAAAGCTTCTCAGGTGAGCGATGTGGCCCATGGGCCTCTTGTTTGAGTTTATATTTGTAAATTAAGTTCATATAGCCGATCTTACATTTGTTGTTTATTTCTACCAAAAAGTAAAAGGATGAGATTAATAATAAATACGGAAACTATTGCATAAAATCATCCGAGTAACGGGGTACTCGATCGGAAGATGAAACGAGTAATCGGTTACTAAAAATCGTCCGATTTGCCAACACTATAAAATACCATTTAAAATTATTTTCAAAGCTGGGGAAAGTATAAAATACATGAAAAAATACCCACAGTGAGCGACAAAAAATCAGCGTAAATAGAAGGTTTTTACAACGCTTGGATTTGAAGCTCTCTGCTTAATCTGTCCGATTTTTCTCAATCAAAGAGCTACAGTTCTGCAGCTAGGGGTTCTGTATGGTGTTAGGGTGGGGCTATATATAGATTATATAGTGAAAATGAACTATTTCTTTGAAAATATTTTCCTCTGCTCCTCACCAGGGTATTAAACAAACAAACCAAGTATATAGTTATATGATGACCAAGAGTGCCTGTTCAAAAATTGTGAATTTCATGGCCCTGGGTTCAGGGGTTCTCGTGATAGGATGGGGCTTAATTATGATAAGGAAGGATGCCTCTTTCAAAACTGCGAATTTCAGGCCCCCTGAGTCAGGTCTTCTTGTGTTAGGGTGGGGCTCTAATGTTTATATAGTGAAACTGCATGAATTCTTTGAAAATCTTTTCCTTTGCCCCTGGGTATTATGCCAATGATCTAAATACCCGTTATGCAAATTATCCTATGTTTCCCACTATCGTTGATGCCCTGGCATACTATACTAACTAGACAGTGTTTCCATAATTACATGGGTGCAAAATGTAGGCAGGAATCTTGAGTTAGCATGCATAGTTCTTGTTGTATTATACCCAGGTGACCACCCCTGCGAGATGAAATTCATGATTTCAGGAACTTTTATGAATCGTTCATGAACATTCATGATGTGTTCACAAATGGTTCATGACTGGTTCATAAAGATGGTTCATGAACTTTATTCATGAATATATTCATAAAATGTAGTTCCTGAACAAATGATGAATATATATCAATATTGGTAATTTTCAGTTTTAAAAGACAGAAAAAAATGTGTAAGTTCATGGTAATGAATGTTCATGAATTTTCATGAAGACTAAAATAATTGACATAAACAATAATAATACAACTTTTGCATGCAGATGCAATTGTTGAACAAGCCCCTGATAAAATTAATAAAATGTTTTCACCAATTATCTTAAATCCTGAAATCTCTAAACATTTTGTATATTAATTTGATCATATTTAAACAAACACTGCATCATCATTGAGAGCATTTAAAAAAGATGATTACTTATGTTGTTCCTTCATCATTTTAATTAACCAGTTATATTGATATTGTGCTTTAAATAGTCTCATTTTTCATGACACAACTTTGTTCGACCAAATTTTCCCTAATGTCAAACTTTAAACGAGTTGTTAAGAAATGGATTAGTCTAGGAAAAAATTGTAATCTTCATTAAAAAAGTATCATATATTTATTAACAACTAAAAAATTACATCGCTTGTCCATACTGTACAGTACTATTCTTGGGTGGAAAGGTTTTATATCATAATGCAGTTAAAAAGTCACATTTTTGTGCATCGTGTGTAAATGGCACGTACAGCACAGACTGCAAGGAACCACTGACCCTGCATGGGGCCACATATTTCAAAATTTTGGAAATGTTATCATAAATTTTATTTCATTATGAATGGTTGATTAATTTATCTTCAGACTATGTACCCCCCCCCCCCCCCAAATATCCCTGACCCAGAGAACATGAAATTATAACCACTTTGCTACTGATGCACCTTTCTACCTTTCTTTGTCATAAATATATATACTAAGATCATTGGCATAATACCTAGGAGTGACGAAAAAGAGTTTCAAAGAATTCATGCATTTTCACTATATATAATTATTACAGCCCCACCCTAACACTAAAAACACCTGACCCAGGGGCCATGAAATGCACAGTTTTGAAAGAGGCATCCTTCTTCATCATAACTATGTATATAGTTTATTGGTTTAATATCCAGGAGCAGAGAAGAAGATTTTTGAAGAATCAATGTTATAATTTTCACTATATAATGAATAGAGCCCCACCCTAACACCAGAACCCCTGACCCTGGGGCCATAAAATTCACAATTTTGGAAGAAACTCTCTTGCTCATGATATCACAACTATATACTTAGTTAGTTTGTGTAACACCCAGGAGCAAAGAAGAAGATTTTTAAAGAATTCATGCATTTTTCACTACATAATCCAATGAGTTCCCTCCTTACACAAAAACCCCTGACTGGCCAGGGGCCATGAAATTCACAAATTTGGAAGAGGCATCCTTCCTCATCATAACTTTGTACATTATATAAGTTTATTCATTAGGATTCTGATAGTAAGGTGTTTAGCAGATTTACCGATGCCACAGAGATAACTCTTGCATCGCAAAATTTTATAAAAACGTATATGTATTTTGCCAGAAAACTACTATCAAAAGTGTTTTTCCCATGGATTTTATTTTTGAAACAGAAAGATTAAGATTTAGAACTAGATTTAGTTCAGTGTGAATTGTAGTCCTGTTAAAAATGTATTGGAAATTACAGTTCTTTGATTCTGACCTTAATTCAATGGTTTATATACTGGGGAATTCAAGAAAATGAAAATAAAGGATATATTTTACTAAGTAAGCAATTTTCAAACAAAATTTTTATTTCATTATACCATTTGGACCACATTGATATTTTTTTCAATAAAATATCAAATATTCATCTCATATTCGATGTACAGCCTATTTATAAAATACTGCCTGGTTTTTCGGTGGATTGCCTCTTAAATTCTTCAAGGACTTTCACTGTGATACCGTGACAGAGATTCTAAAGTATATGCAGGTACAAGTTCATACTGTGCAAACTTTTTAATGTATATGACTATATGTCAGATTGTAGAATTAAAGTATAACATGCATACAATGCCTAAATTTTAAAATGTGTACATTATTGCCCACTTGCAATTTTCATTGTACGTCATAATGTACAATCATGTATTTTTTATGATTTCAGTAATCAAAAGGATTATGTATACATGCATGCAAACAAATGTAACATTGTGTGAGTATCCAACAGGCCCAGTCCAAAGACTATTTCTACCTACGTAGCTATTAATAGCTATGTAGGTATTTAAAGCTACCCAAAGTAGCTATTTTTACCTGCTTTTTGTATTATCTACATTTCGTGGCCAAAGGACTGAACGGCGCAACATGGTAAATACCATATTTTTTGATACAGTCACACTAATGATGAATACGACAAAATTTTGACCAAAAAACGATTACTTCCTGAATGGGCAATTTTACATTACTTTCTATGCAAAATTGATAATATACGAAGTAATCATTTTTTGGCCAAATTTTTGTCAAATCCATCATCAGTGTGACTGTATCAATAAATTCAGTGCTCACCATGTTGCGCCGTTCCTGCGTTTGACCACAAAATGCAAGTAAAGCAGAAAGTAGGTAAAAATAGCTACTTTGGGTAGCTTTAAATGCCTACGTAGCTATTAATAGCTACATAGGTAGAAATAGTCTTTGGACTGGACCTGTCCAATATGGAATTTTGAGTGTTACAGCTAAGTAAGTGGCCATTTTTCCTTTCTCAGCTGTTGAAGAATGTGCCTGTTGTCCCACAGCATCTAGAGGCCAATGTCATAATCAGACTTTCTGTCAAGAATGCAATAAGGGGTATTACCAGAACAATTCAGCTCAAATCAGTTGTTTTCCCTGTCGGAAAGGATTCTATACAAAGTATGTGAGATGTTAAATAACTTAAATAAATGAATACATCTTGATTTATTGATGTACCGTACAACGGGTTATTTTTACTGCTGTAAATTTTTACGAATTTTGGCTGAAATAAGGGGATTTAAATTTTTATGTGTTTATTTTTTACGATTGAGCATGTTCATAAAAATTAAAATCATAGAAGGTGAAATTCCAGATCAATGTTTTAGCATTTTGAATGCTTTTACATACAAATAGACTTAATGTGTCTGGAAAACCCAATGTAAAAATCAAAGTATTATTCTCGTGATATTGAATGTGGATTTATTAAATTATGATAGGTTTGTTCATTGAATTACCTTATATTTCATGTGCCGTTGTTAATTAGATTCCTGGTTTTTTTTTTGCATTAAAAACACAATTAAGTTGCTAAGTCTATCATTATTGATGAGCACCATGTGCCCGTCTTTATTTTACCGAAAATATAAAGAGAGACAACTCAAACCATCATCATTTAGTTGACACTATTTTAGTGTGTTAAAAAGTACTGTAACTTTTTTTAAATGCAAACAAAACAGAAAAAAGGGTCAAAGACTTTGAAAAACGGGTATAATTTGAAGATCTGTAATAATTAAATCATTGTCAGAAATTATGCGTCTTGTAAAAGTATAAGCAGGTAATTGACGATGTTTGTATACCTTATGCATTAATTAAGATTAACTTGTTTGATACGTCTAATTGAGGCCAAAATAAAATTATAGTTTGTTTGGAATTGCCTCCCTCCTCAATGAAATGCCCCCCTCCTGAAAAAATTTTATTGACCAAAAGTAGGAAGAATTTTTTTTTTATTTAATCAATTTTTTTGCCTATTACATGCATCACATGCACCATACAAAACACTGAAATATAGTGTCAGATCTATGTAAAATTAGGGAGTTTTTTGTTGATGGTAGAAACTTTTTTTTAAGAGTCAGAAAATGTATTTAAAAAAAATAATTTCCCTCCCTCCCTCCTGGGTCTAAAACCCCTTAGGCGGCAATTCCAAACAAACATTTTTTTAAGGATGGCCTGATGATCAATTTTAAAGTGCTAAAAATACCAACAGTACTAATTTTAGCCTATAGGTACTGAAATGACAATTATAGCCGATGCTTTAATACATACGATGTTGAAAATTCAGGCCAGGAGTATTTTTACTTCTGTGAAATTTTACGTGTTTAAAATTTTACGGATTTATAAAACTCATAAAAATTAGTAAAAATTAGCAGCAGGTAAAAAATACCCCTTATACGATATTAATATTTCCTGTCCATTTTGTTTTCTCTGTGATAAGTCTTTGAAAGTTAGTTAATTTCTTGATCTTTCTACTGGAACATAAATTTCGCCAAGCCATAGTTCAGAAGCTAAGTAGGCATAACATGTGAGTAAATCTCATGCGGCTGTCATTATGTTTGACGGCAGTCAGCGGGGACTATTAAAATTGACATGGGAGGCCTTGTGTAATTTAAATATAATAATACATTAGTTTACATTCTTAAAATCAAAAGTTACAATTTTATTTCACAACTGCCTAGTTAGTAGAGTATACTAAGGACATCAACGATAGTAGGAAACGTAGGATAATTTATGCATAATGGGCATGTATATTAGTAAAAAATAAGAAATATTAAATTTTGTGGTGGTCAGAAATCATAATTTATAAATTTTCTCTATGACTTATTAAAACAACGAAAATTAAACCCACACGAAAATGAGTGATTTCACATTACGCAAACAGTATACAGTGTACCCAAAAAGGGCTGGAATAATAAATGGATTTCTATTTGTAGTAAGACCGGTTCTACAGATTGTACAGCATGTAAGATTGGATTTTTTGCCAATGAGACAGGGTTGGCAGTTTGTGATCCATGCCCTCTTGGATCCTTCCAGAATAAGACTGGACAACCAGTGTGCAGCCAGTGTCCATTAGGACAGTACCAAAATCAGGAAGGACAGAGTGAGTGCAAAAATTGCTCAGAGGGAACATATCAGAATCACCAAGGGCAGGCGCATTGTGAGGATTGTTCTCCAGGTTTCTTCCAGAACCAGACTGGTCAGCGTATTTGTGAGAAGTGTCCTTCTGGACAGTATCAGGAAGATAATAGGAGTAGCAGCTGCAATCCATGTGATAAAAATACATACTGCAGGTGTGTAACAGAAATTTAAACAAATTAACTTGTGTGTTTTGTCGGAATCCCATGATCACACTGTCTTGCTTCTCTTACCTCCCATGTTCCCTTGATTTGGTACTATGCAAAAGCAAATTTGACCGTTAGAGGACTATTAAAAATAGATGTTATCAAATACCAGGCAGTGTATTAGACAAGTAATGGTGGAACCCATGGGAAAATCATAAGTGATATATGAGATGTTTTGTCAAGTAAATATGACATTCTAATTCCCCCCAAAAAGAATGTTTCTTCTACTTAATTAAGGAATTGAGGATATAAAGCATATCTTAAAAAATATCAGTTGAATAAAGTGGAGCCTTGTTTATCCGGACGCTTTGGTTCCTAGTCAATTTGTAAGGATATGTAAAGCATAAGGACACCTGAATCACCAGTTAAACAAGACAAATAATGTAAAATAAATTCTGTTCCCATGATATGAAATCGTCCAGATACTGAAGCATCCAGATATCAGAAGGTCCACTGTAATATAATTAGGCATTAACAGGGTTAAATTTAATTCCGACCAGCAATTCCACTGCCTGATATTTATGCACAAAAAGAATCATTTTATCAGCTCATTTATTTGGAAAGCTTTGTTCACTCTTGTTTTGAACATCTCCATATTGCTTGTAAAATCGACTACCTGAACTATGTTTGTTACAACACAAAATGTACGTAATAACAACACAAAATGTAATAAACTGGGGCTATTGCATTTTGCTTTATTACATTTTGCGTCGCCTCAACGCACAATGTAGGCCTTTCAACATATTTTTCAAGTTGCACATATGGTAAAAACCATTAGATAGATTTGTAAGTATGTGAAATTATCAAAAAAAGACCTATTCATATTATACATTTGATAAAATCGTAAAAGAAAATTAATTACACATGTAATAAATATTTGAATTGTACGATGTAATGTTTGAAGGATAGGTAACTCAAGTGTAAAAAAAAGCAAAATATAATAATGCAAAAAGTAATTATATAATTTTTGGATTATAGCATTTTGCATTGTTACATTTTACATCAAAATTAAGCAGAATCAAAGTACTCAGAAGAGAGAGCCAGGCTCATAAATACAGGGTAATGAAGAAAGACCGTGATGACAGTTTAAAAACAAGTTCAGACAGTGAAAGAATATGTAACACAAAAATATCTCTATGGCATATGTATACACTGTAGTATAAAAAAGTTTTGAAAATTAAATAATTAAATGTAGCTTGTTTCGGGGTTTTATATTCCAACAGAAGTAAATAAGCAATGATGTAGCAAGATTAATTAAGATCAAACGATTATGCACAGATGAGTCTTTCATAAGGTCATACGTTCCCCACAATAGTGATAGCCTGGTAACACAACCTTTATTAGAATTCCTGATGAAAACCATGTCAGTGAATATTTTCAATGAATAATTAATCAAAAAGAGGGGAGAAAGTAAAAATGTTAAAAATGTAACTTTCATTTTAAAAAGTGTGTTCACATTATTAAACGCATTGGCAGAGAATTAAAGAAAATTTATATTATGTAAGGATGCCAATTATTGCCCAATTTTATACTCACCATCACTTGCACTTTAAACAGCATAAGCATGTATTTGATAAAATTGAGAGTTACTTTGTAACAGCTGAAAATATAGCGGAATCTCACTATAATAGTGATATACCTGTACCACTATTATAGTACCATTGTAGTGATTTACATTTCCCCCCCAACCTGACCAATGTACAGTGCATGCCGTACATGCATATCAAGTGGTTTTTGGCCACATGGTCAATCTTTGGTAATTAAAAATATCATTGATTAGATTGTAATACAGACTGATTTATAAATAGACAATGTCAATCAAAGTTAATTAAAAATCACAAACAGTGTTACAAACTAGAGGTACTGTGAGCAATGAGCTCACTAAATAATACCCCCTGCCTCCCATATGAATATAATGGCAGTATCCATGTTTTGCTCTGGAAAATCCAAAATATGTGTCAGATCAAAAAGTAAAATAGGAGGTGCACAATAGCAATATGTAATAAAAATTCTGTGAAAGTTTCATTAAATTTCCTTCAGTGGTATGAGAGAAGTTGCGGATAAGAGATGTGTACCCCAAAGCGTAAAAGACGGACGGACGGACATACCGATTATTATAATATACCCTCCCACTTTTCAAGCGGGGGGTATAAAAAGATTTGTTTTGATTTAGTAATGTCATAGTTCTGTCTAACTATTTTGTAAAGTGAGTTTTCCCATGCTTATCTGTTTAAATCAATTTTATAATATTGTATGCTGAACACAATCCCAAAAATTAATAATATTTTGTTGTATTACATTTGATTTATTACAGTTTGCGTTGTCTTCGATGCAAAAATTATAAAAACACAAAATAAAAAAACCAAATAGTGAGTTAATCCCTGAATGCAAAAATTGTAATAACACGAAATGCAATAATCTAAAATTATGTTTTAAATACATTTTGCCTCATAATGCGACCACTGAAAAATATTAAGGCAGTTCATGTATTGAAACACTTGCAGTACGTTCCAAGCAAAATTTTTGGCCTTGCACATGTCCCTTGGGAAGTAAGAGAAATAAGACAAACTTTGGATTCCCAGTAATATATGACCTTTATAGATAATATCTTTGACTTGTTTGCATCATGCAGTCGTATTTGTGTCTATAAATTCAGTTGATTAAGGTCAGATGACACGTTCCTCAAAATATAAAATTTTCCTCAGAATTTGTCATCGAAGTATAGGTACTTAAACAAGTATCCTCACAAAAAATTAGGGTACCTTACCAGGCATTTGGCCAAGATGCCATAGGGTTATATTTCTTTTTCAACCCATAAGTCTAATCTTCTAAATGGCCTATAACACAATTTTTGGTGCAGTCTTCGAAATAACCTGGGATCCCGATGCCCGGGACCCAGTAAATTTGCCAGCCGGCCATTTACTTGCCATTTCTTCTGTTGTACCCCAGTTATTCGCGTAAACTTGCTCATAAGATGAATTGCCAGTCTATGTTCGTCTTACCTTACATTCTCGGCACGACATGTCAAATGTCAGTCGTAATCATTAATAAGTGTGCCACGTGCAGTGGACTACCGTCATGATCCTATTTCTGAAATTCAGTTCAGCTATACCGGCCAACAAACGACCAGCATGCGAGTCAAAAAGTTGAGAACAAAAACATGCACAAAAATGGCAGACAGGCAAGCCATAGTTGATTTAAAAATCTGAAAACAATTTCTACTTATTAAGATGGAGAGAATTTAAAAGCAGAAACACTGTCCTTATAGTTAACACTGGTTAATATAAAAACTAATTTTTTTGTTGCACAATCATATCTGCTATATGAATGAATTTTGAGTAGGGCATGTATAAATTTCAATGGGTTGGGTTAAAATGATCGATATACATGCCCGAAGGGCATGTGCTGAAGAAGAATTGTTGTGAAGACTGTTGGTGTACTTATATTTAAAAACATTTTGAAAACAATGTAGAAATCAGAAGAGAATGACATATATGAATATTTTTTTATATAATACCAAGAGATACAAAACATATAACTGAGGAACGTGTCGTCTGACCTCAACACAGTGTTTGGTATCAGGATTCTGCTACCTTATTATGTATACATTTGGTAATATTTATAATTTTATTGTTCATTTATTCTCCAATAGGGAGCCTGGGTGTATTCATTGCTCCCTGTGTCCAGCTGGTACATTTGGGAATGACTCTATAGGCCTGGTGGAATGTCCAGCCTGTCCTGCAGGTACATGTGTTTAAAGTCATACAATTTGTCAGATGTATTTCCTACAGAATATTATGAGCTAATTAAGGTCTTCCGTTTCAGACGGAAGACCTTATAGAGATTGTACTGTTTCTTTTTATTATTATTATTATTATTATTATTATTTTTTTCCCCTTTTCTTGTAAGACGGATTTCTCAGCGATGGCTGGACGGATTTTCTTGAAATTTTCAGGGATGATAGAGAACCAAAATACGCTCAGACGTTTTTTTCATTTTTTCAAAATTCACTTCCTGTCGTCAGATTTGTCCGATTTCCGTTTTTTTCAGAAATATTTTGTCATAGTCATATCTCAGAAACGGTAAGAGATTAAGACACCAAACTTAAATGAATAATAGGTCTTGATAAGCAGTGTGCGAAATTAACGGTGGACCGGTAGACAATGTCTATAGAAAATCTAGTCGGTCTATACCGATCGAAATATTAATAGACCGACTTGTCTATAGGAATTCTGAGTAAGAAACTGGTTCCCTTTTGTCTCTAATAAACAAACCACAAAAAAGAGGACCAGTTTAAATAAAACGTCTGTTTTACACTGATGTATTCCGTTGACCCCTTAGTTATAATAGTTTGTTCCACGATGTATGCAGAAATAATTTGAATCGGAATATTTTATTTTTAATTTGAGGGGAGGTTAAGTTGTGATTACTTAATGGCCGCGGACACCAAAACAGTGCAGAAGAAACATGTCCTTCGACGACCGTTTAAAGTATGTTGAGGGTGCATGCCCGGGAATTATTATTAAGCGGAAGGTAGATTGAAAGAGAATATAATTAAACTATGTATGAACAAGTTTTCATGTATTATTTATTTTAATTTCAATATTTTAGCATTGAATGTAGTATTCTAAATTTCGGTCCATAGGAAGTTGCTGCGGTCTATAGAAAATGAAATGTCTATGGACCGAAAGTCTATAGGACTTTGAAGTTAGTTTCGCACACTGGATAAGTAGGCGAGCCCAATTGGGTTAACATCGTCTGGCGTCACTTCCGGTCGTCACAGGAAGTGATCCAAGAAATCGAAATTTTCAACTTTTTTTTATTGAAACTTTTTTTGCATCACATTATAGCATTTTATTTGTAGTTTCGAAATATGTCAGTCCCACCGGAAACAAAAAACGACAACATCCGGTTATAAGAGAAAAACTGCATATTTTGAGTATTTTTCTTTCCCATAAATGTTTTTTATAGATAAAGTATTTGTAATGATTTTTGGATATTGTATTGAGACTACAAATGTCTTCAGTAACGTCAAATATCTTTTTAAAATTCACTTCCGGTCGCGTGATTTCCTGTCCTCAAAATTAGAAGTTATCACAGCTAGATCTCGTAAACGGTAAGAGATTAAGACACCAAACTTATATAAGTGGTAGATCTTGATAAGTAGGCAAATTCAGTTGGGATAAGATCGTCAGCCGTCACTTCCGGTCGTCACAGGAAGTGATCCAAAAAATCAAAATTTTTAACTTTTCTTTCATGAAACTTTTTTTGCATCACATTATAACATCTTATTTGTATTTTTGAAATATATCAGTCCCAACGGAAACTAAAACGACAACTTCCGGTTATAAGAGAAAAACTACATAATTTGAGTATTTTTCTTTCCCATAAATATTTTTTATACATAAAGTATTTGTACTGATTTTTAGATATGTTATATAGACTGCTTATGTCTTCAGTAACGTCAAATATCTTTGTAAAATTCACTTCAGGTCGCTTGATTTACTGTCCTTAATATGAGAAGTTATCACAAAGAGATCTCAGAAACGGTAAGAGATGGAGACGCCAAACTTAAACGAGTAATAGATCTTGATAAGTAAGGAAACTCATAAGGGTTAAGATCGTTCGCCGTCACTTCCGGTCGTCACAGGAAGTGATCAAAGAAATCAGAAATTTCAACTTTTCTTTTTGGAATACTTCTCGGCATCACATTATTGTATCTGATTGTTTGTTCTGATGTATGTCCGTCCCACCAGAAACAAAAACGACAACTTCCGGTTATGAGAAAAAAACTGCATAAATTGAGTATCATACTATCGCATAAATATCTTTTATAGAAAGAGTATTTGAAATGATTTTAGAACATGTACTTCAGAGTGCAAATGTGTAGAGTAACTACAAATATCTGTTAAAAATTGACTTCCGGTCTCATGATTTCCTGTCCTCAAACTGAGTAGTTAACATAGCCAGATCTTGGTTATGGTAACACATCAAGACACTTAACTTATATGAATAATAAACCTTGAAGAGTGAACAACAGATATAGGGATAAATGTCTCCGCCGTCACTTCCAGTCATCACAGGATGTGATTTGAAAAATCGAAAATTCCAACTTTTTTCTTTCTAATTTTTTTTTTCATTAGTTTATTGTATCTAATTAGTAGTTTTGAAATATGTCAGCTCCACCAAAAATAAATAAAAACAACGAAAACTTCCATTATAAGAAATAAAACAACACCAAAGGTCAAAAGGTCAAGGTCATTGGAAAAGTATTTAAATTGCTTATATATGCCACATGACCTTGACCTTTGAGTTTGATGTTTGACCTTTGACCTTGACCTTTGACCCCTTACTCAAAAAGTAATAAAGAAATATTCATTACGTTTATCTAGATTCAGTTTCAAGTGTTAATCTCAAGTTTATCTCTCTCTCTCTCTCTTTTTTTGGATGACCTTGACCTTGATTAATGACCCCCTATTGACCCAAAGGTCACAATCAAGTTTAATGTCGTTGAGGTATTTGCAACTCTTACTCTAACAAATGCTTATATCCCCCTCCCTCCTTTCTTAAAAAAAAAACCAAAATCAACAGCAGTATAGAGAAAATGTCTACAAGTCAAACGACACGATATATCGACATAAGATTCGGAGTAAAAGCAAGAAGAGACCTTAAAGAAAGTGTCCTGAGTGTTTTAAGGTGAGTCTCTAAAATATAATGAAATTCTAGTGAAAATCGGCAAAATCTGCATTTTTTTTTGGTCTGAAATTTTGTTATTGCTGAGCATAAAAATTAATGAAAGTCCGTATTGGCTATTTCTGCCATTTTTGTTAATATCATTCGATTCTCCTGCTCTATTACGACATTTTAATGCCAAGTACTCTTGCTTTCTTTAGTGTATGGAATTTATTTCAATTTTATTTCGATTTAATATTAATAGAATGAATCTTGATTTTATTTGAAATTTGATTTTTTTTTTCTAGAATAACAAAATCCCAAGAAATAGCGACTTTCAGCATAGTAAAAAGAAATACACGTTTCTTCCCTGTGTTTCCCATCTAGAATTACATGTTTGGAATTTTATTTATGCTACTTACATTGAATTTCATGCCTATTTCGGTCAGGAATGTTAAAACCCGAACCCGATTCTCTGTTTTCCTTTTCCATAATTACAAACTGCCTTGCATCTCTCGCTCATGTTTCTCACATGCTCTTAAATAATTTATCGCCATCCATTTCAAACATAAAACAACTCAAATCGGATATTTTCAAACATCTCTTTAATACATGTTTAATGCACATATGATGCAGGTACACATGGGACATTTCACAACGTTTTCACTTACGCTTCCGTCTTGATGCGCAGATCAAATGCATGTTATTCATATTATTAGGTATATCGTAATTTTAATCAGACCCTACCCCTTACATTTAACTCGAAAACAATCTCATTCAAGCTCATATATACACCTAGGAGCGTGTTACAATGTTTTGAACGTGCTCTCTTTGCGTGATCAAGGAAATCATGGTTGTCCCCGAGTCGACTCGTATAATCCAGGAAGTCTGTTTAGAGTATATTTATACCAACTGCGAGCCCGATCTAAAATCCTAGTAGAGAAATAAGAATTTCCCTGTTTTATTTATTTCTTGCTTTTTTCTACTTCTTTCAGCCAAAATGATATTGAAATGCTTAAAAGGGTAGAAAGGCCGATAATTGTTCACTGAACAATTAGTCTATTAGTTTATTATATGTCTGTCTTTTTTAAAATAGAAAAAAAACATCCTGCATACAGATAAATAGAGGAGAACGGAAGACCTTCTTTGTTGCTGTAGCAACAAGAGTTTCTAGTTAATTTTACTGATTGAAGTTTATCCAACATCTATCTGTGAATGCCACATCTCGGCCCAATGACACCTGGCTCAGACAGGTTGACCCAAGATTTAAGACAGGTTGGCCAATCTATATGACACCTCGGCCCAAGCAAATATTCATTGTGAAATATATAGTTTTTTTTCCGATTTCAGAATATGTCCCAGTGATTCAAAATAAAATATTGAAAAAAGTTACTGAATACTGTAGAGGGGAAAGTAACTCGCAGTAGTAATATTCGCTATATTCACCGTTTTGATAAATCCACAAATTCAAGAAACATTGAATAAATTTTCAATAATCTCCATGTTTTGTTTGGAAATTTGAGAATAGACTACGATAGGTTTGTATAGGTATGTACGTGCAGAACATGGTAATTTCTGTAATTAAAAGTAGTACTTGTCATTCAATTATTTAAATTAATTATCACGCTTTACTTTAATTCAAACCAGCAGATAATAACCTGTATTTGTTAAAAAGCTTTTTGATAGCCAACACTACATGTTTCATCAATCAAAACATGTGGGCCATGGGTTTTGATTACATATGCATAACTAATGTCACCACGTGTATTTGTTACCTGCAATATCATGCATGTTAGTTTTTATCGACATTTTGGTTTTAAAAAATAATTTAAATAACTATCGAACTTTAACTGATGTGTGGAAGGATATTATTTGTGGACCTACATTAATACATTACTGTCCAGTGGTTTTTTCGCCGGGTTGTATGGAAGATCTGGCGGTTTACATATGCACACATAATCTCAGCGAGATGGGTAGAGACTGAAAATTTGGACTGACGTATAAGTCGAATTTTTGGGAATTAATTTCTGACCCAAAACTCTATGTCTGACTTATAGGCGAGCTACAAAATG